CTCTATCACAATAGGCGATTCGAGACCGGTGATAGAGGGACTGTGGTTTGAAGAAAAGTAAAAGTATTGTACCTGTTCTTGACGTCAACTTTTCGACTTGCGCATGCTCCATCTACTCGTCACTGTGGGCTCTGTTTACACCCTTTGGAACCGCCAGTTTCTGGGGGGAGGGTCAGTTACTGGGCGCAGTGGACGCACCTCTGCTTTCGCGGCGAGTTGGTATGCGGTGGATTTTTGGCTGTTTATATGTTCGTAATATGCCTGTAGCCTATTCTTTTCACCACCAGATCCCGTTTACAGCCCGCGCTTTCTTTCAGAAGATTGATACAAAAATAGCCACATAAAAACTGAGATTGACTCAGATTTTGTCTGTTGGCTCCAAAATTAGCGTTCATTTCCAGAAATATTGAAGTATATAAGAAAAAAGTGCAGACAAATGTACCACTTTTCTAGTGTCGACCCCATTTAGAATACTATATAATCATGACTATATATTATATAAAAACATGATACAATATATAAACATCATTTTAGGACAAACATTTTGACAACATAAAACCTGATTTGGACATTATATTTTGTAATAACAGACAAACAAATATATAACTACAACACGCATACATGTAACATGATTCCAGCTCACGTTCACGACAAGCGCGTCGCCACTACAGACTGACGTGCTCGCCACTCTATCGCCACTACAAAGACTGCCGTGCTCGCCACTCTACTATACTTACTGCCTAAAAAAGAGCCGACGGTTTTAGATATTACTGTAACACCCAAGGATTTTTAACGTACCGTTTTGTAGTCAACAGAAGATGTGGCTTCGTCCATGATGAGAATTTTACTTTCACGTAAAAATGCTCTTGCCAAACAAAATAACTGAATTTGTCCAGTGCTAAAATTATCTCCACCTTCAGTAACCATAGCATCTGAAACCAATGAATAAGAGAAAGTTATCAGTCCCGTAATTGGGGGGGGGGGGGTCGGCTTGTGCCATTGTTCGCTCAGTTGGTAAAATGTGGGATTGACACGACACTGTACTTTCCTAGTTTGGTTCATTAGATTTGTATTCAAGTTAATGATGGTATATATACTGTTTTGTTCCAAGTGTATCGACCAAATGTAGTCAACTTATTGTATTAGTACGTGTACAGGTACGGGTTGAACAGATCATTAAAAAAATGCCGAAGATTTATCACGACGAGTTATATAGGTCGACGAGCTTCTTGCAGCCAACAATTTACACCACAGTGTTGCTTCAGCACTGAAACGATGCAATGAATCATATTTTTCAAACATATGTCATACAAAATTTGCTATATTTTTAGTGGGTTCATTAAAAGGAGATGTAGTCATTGAAGTCTATTGAGACCGTTGCTAAACTGCCACTATATGCATATTATTTTACCGCCCTCTAAAAACTGATTTACAGTGAACCAAAAATGTACATACTGTAAGAAATGCCTTTGGTTAGTGCATTTAATTTGTTTGATGCAATCTTTGTGCCAACTATTTCTCATGGTAGCGATATGGGGGTACGAAAATTAGGAATTCGAGAGGATACAGACAACATTTTGCAGATATCTACTTAGCGTTAATAGTTGTACAAACAGTGTAGCGATATTGGACGAATGTGGAAGGCTGCCAATATGCTGGGGTTATTTCAAGCATTGGACCTCGTATTGATTAAATTTACTAGAAGAAAAAAATAGCTGGAACCCAAAAACATGTTATATAATGCTTAAACGATTAGACAAGACGGACAGACTTACTTGGGAAACCCACATAAATATCTACTGTTCAAATATGGTATCGGCATTGTCTGGTTTGAAAAACAAGTTGATACTGCAAATTTCCTAGAGATATTTATTCAAAGAATAACAAATTGTTGTCAGCAAGAATGGCATGCCCCAATTTCAAAATCATCCAGGCTGTGTACTTTCGGATTAAATCAAAGTAGTTTTATAACCTGTGAGATTTATTAGACTAAATAATAGACTAAAATATATACTGACGAGTTTTCGCTGTTTTGGCCATAAACATTAGGTTGAATTAAGCAGACGCACAAAACTACAGTTAGATCAATAAATGTTTTTGCAGTGACGCGTTTGAATTTAGCATAGTAGAAAATGAAATTCACTTTTTGTTTTTATATGTCCATTTTCAATGATCTACGGGCTGATCTTTTGTCAATAACCCCATGCAATTATGCAAATACTGACAGTCTGGGCTTACAGTCGTCGCTACACAAACTGCCACACCATATATCAACTAGCTCTGTATCTTTTAAAAGTTTTCAAGCGACGAGATGAATATGAATCCAGCTTAACTTAGTACCATATGTTTACATGGGTGTTTTTAAAACGTGCTATGCACTTTCTTAGTACCCATTACATATTGCACGATGGGTTGAGGCCCTGTACAGAAATAAATTTATATAATACAAAATTGACTAATACTAAAATGAATAATTGTAGACAGATTTCGACATGAAATCGTGTCACTTTTATGTGTGCTAACATTTGCAAAGAGCGAAAAAACTTGTGAGTAGCCTTCTACCTTAAAATGCTTAGACAATAATGCTAAGCTACGTACAGTCTTGTCTTTCTTGTGTACAACATTTTGCCGTAGTGGATCTAGGGTGTGGGTGGGTGTGTTTGTTTGTTTGTCTGTGGGTGGGGAATGGCTCAGTACCCCTTCTCAAAAATGGTAAAATAGTTAAAAGATGTTATGTGAAATAACTTACCAACGTAACACAAAGTAAACCAATTGAATTTAAAACCGAGAATATAAAAATATCTGCAACAGAGCTCAAATACACTTTTTGAATATTATAAAATTCACACGTTTCACGTCAAATATATTATATAATTGTTGTTTTCGAACCCCATATTCAAAAGTGCTGGCTACAAGCCTGGTTATACGCGTCATGATGTACACAACTAGTTCTGATTTTAAAAGATCAACGTCCTTTTAAAAGGCGACAGTCGTCGCGCTGCGCATGTGCGACATTGGTGTTGATAAGTATAGATTTTCCCACAAGCCAAGTATGTGGTTTGACCTGGGCGCGACTTGCACTAATTACCGCCGGTGACTCCTTCCATACCTTCCAATCACCTAAAAATACCTAATTAAAGCTTGGTAACGTCCCAGTATTTGTTGATCTGCGCAATCTTTGTTTATATGAGACCCATATATCCGCACATGCGTGGCGCGACGACTACCACCCTTTAGTTAAAGTTTTGTTATTGTTTTGATACACTGTTATTGGATCGAAAATATGTGTATCACAGTCTCAGTCTCTGTGGTTGTATTGACGACTTTTGCGTGTAATATGGAATCAATTAATATAATAATAGAAGTAATTAAACAACCGAGTTAAGAGCAATCAAGCATTACATATTATGGATAAAAAAAAATAACTGATGTGATAAAACTACGCCACTGTTTCAGCTTTGTATAAATAAAATCGTATTTCCTTAAAATGTGTCTCCCATCATTCTTTGAACATAAACCATACAAGAAGTGTCAATACGTACATGCATAGGTTTTGTAAAAACAGTTATACTCTGTTATTATAAAGTAAGTGTCAGGTATAAAAATAATTACATTATAAAAATAATTACCTAATTGTCCATCCATTGTACGGACGCACTCCTTCAACTGGGCAATCTCAAGAGCGTTCCATAAATCCACACTACTATATTTATTATCGGGGTCTAAATTAAATCTGAAATTGATAACATGTAAAAATTGAACCCTCTTTACTGATAAAATGGTGCTTTATAATTTTGATGCAAACGCAGCAGATAAGCGCACTCCAAAATGGCAATTACCGACAAATGTACTGCTTTGTTGGAACAAACTCCTAGAAAGATTCTTAGTATATCTCCCGATGACTGCTGCCATATATGTCACTTACGTGTATCAACCTATAAAATCCTGCATAAATGTATTCAAATTGAACCAAACGGCGAAGCATTGATTTCTCGAAACACACAGTCAAAACAAAAACGAACTTCCCACTCTGTCAATGTTAAACTTTCCACTGATTGTGTGTTTTTTTTCAAGCGAAATATAGTATAGACAATTATTCGAAAAATTAGATTTTAAGCAGACATGAACTTCGCGATTTGTGAGACTCGATTGACGATGGCACCGAATGTGATTGTGTTTACTTCCGGTAACTTATGCCACTATTGGCATATGTTTGCCGTAAATAAATAATTTAATCATTGAAAACGTGACCAATATACGCGGCAAGTCCAATTTTGGAGCACAGACACATTATATAGCAAATGTTCTAGAGTCTATTTTGCGGTAGCGAAGCGGAGATAAAACAGTCGAAGGCAGATGGGGCATCTTCGCATCAGAGACAACACAGAGGATCTTAAGTATTGGATACCCATCGAGGACTTCTTGAATATGTTCTAAGATGAAATATCTCACCTTGCGGCCTCAACATTTCATCTCTGGTAGGAGTCCGAATACTAGGGTTTTATCTGACTTTAAACTCATCGCCCAAACCATGTTTAGATATATATTTGGGGTGAAGTCTCATTCTCACCTTTGGTGATTTCTGTCAACAATTCTGTCAAAATTTGTAATGAAAAATCTCTTTTTTTTCGACTTGAATATGCTATAAAATCCAAGAACGTTAATTACGCATTGAGTGTTGACTTGTCGTAGTTTTTAGCCATTGTTCTCATAAAAATGCTCACTGAAATTGTGGCAGGTGTAGCCCCATAGTAAAATCCTAACTTTTATACAGACACCCCAATATATCAAATATAGTAAGTAATAAAGGGGAATAGCCCTGACTAGGTCTTCTTTAGCTAACTGCTGTTTCCTAGCCATATATGTTTAAATACTGCTATTACTCATTTAGCTGTTTGTTAATTTCTATACTTATTTATTTGTATTTAGCAATTTATTTGCGCAATTTATTTATTCTTTACTTAATATAATTTTCTCTGTTACTGCATATATATGGCAATAAATTATTATAATTTTACTCGACATCTGCATAAGGTTCAACTTGAATATTCATGATCTAAATTGAAACATCACACAGCTCATGTAGCCCATTTGGCGGCGCGATTTGTTTATCAGAGAAAAACGTGATCCGTGATGTTACGTGATCTATAAAATAGTCCTACGAGAATTTATGAGAACGCAGACATTTAACAAGAGAAAACAATTCACAACCAAAAACAGAACATTTAGTATATATAAAGTCCTGCAATGGAACATTATCTTGCTATAAAATCACTATGTGTTTTTTCGTCACCTGCGCCTGCGCGGGAATTGAGTCCCAAGCGATGATAAAACACACGTTAAAACGCAAAGGCTCATGGGTAGACGCTTGTTTGTAAACATTGACACGCTATGATGACCATCTAACACATGCGCAGGTGACGACTCCCCCGCTTTAAATTCAGAACAAATAAGCTTTAATAATAATACACTATGTGCATTAACAATTATAGATGGATCATCTTACCGAATAGTTCCACAAAACAAAACAGGATCCTGTGGAATAATGGATAATCTGCTACGAAGTGTCAGCAAAGGCACTTCCGCTATATCAATACCATCAATAGTAATTCGACCTGCCATATGTGAGAAATGATTTCCTTTTTTAGTAACAAATATTGCCCTTGTTTCTTCAATGTTACAAATTATATACTTCCCATTGTTTACTGTTTTTATTGTTTTCATTATTTTTTAACATAAAAGTCATAAAGGAATGTTTCTGGCCATAGCTGATATGATAGATGCGTACCTTTGAAAACGTCAATCATTCTTAGTAATGCTAGGGTGAGCGAGGATTTTCCACAGCCCGTACGACCACATATACCAACCTTTAAGAAAAATGGCTGTGTGTTACAAACTTATTGGATGTTGAAATACACGATACCTTATTTCTGATCAAACTGGTTATATGTAAGATGAGTGACATTATATGTAAGTATATTTTCGTATTCCTATATATTTTGGCCATTTGAAAACGTACCTTAGCATGTGCTGGAATTCGAACGTTCACGTTTTTCAACACAGCGAGTGAACAGTCGCTGTACCGAGCTGACATATTTGTTATAGAAATGGTCCCATTATATGGCCAATTACCCGGTGGAGTAATAAACCCTAATAAAGTAATAAAATAAAATAGTAAACTTTGTAATTATCTGTAGAACCACTCAAATATAACATGGCGAGTTTAATATGGCAGTGAATCATTAATATTAATAGTTCCGTTACTGTTGTTTGTCATTGAAATTTAGTGACACCATTACGGTTAATAGTCATTTTATAATGAAAATGTTCAATAAATGTTAGATACCTTGATAATTCTCAGTAGCAAGATGTGTGTATTGAACAACACGTTCAACCCCATTAACATAGCTTGTGATATCTACCATATACGGCATCAGTGCACCTAAAAACTGCGATCCCTGTTGACGTTGCACAGTAAATTAATTATGCATGGGCGAGTGGCCATGCGTGCGAGCATGTGTGTGTGTGTGTGTGTGGGGGGGGGTGCGCAAGTGGTTATATTAAAGTGGATGAGTACGCGCAAAGGCACATGGGTAGACGCATGGTTTGTAAACGCCGGCGAGCTATGACCGTCTGTCACAAGCACAGGTGACCACGATTTAAATTGATTGTGTGTTATTGGCCCCATGGTCACATTGAAGTCAAGTTGTGTGAGCAAATGTTTCAAATTTTGCAATAAATTCGGACTTTCGAACCCGATGGGTAATATAAAATTAAACATTAATGTACAATTATAAAACACTCACTATTAAGCCGATGGTGATGGATAATCCCATTTCACTCGGTTTAAAATTTCCATAAACAGAAATTAGCAATGCTCCCATTCCAATTACTAATACTAGAAACATACCAATTATACTCTGTAACAGAACCACATTGAAATTAACCCTGTCTAACTAGAACCGAATCAAATCTTTTAATTAATATGGTTTAGTTTAATACTAGCTAGCTGTCCCCACAGGCTATTCCGACGCACTAAACTACGGGGATTGCATCGGATACATTTCATTCAAATGTTTAGCAATCCAAAGTATATATTCCGTTATTTTTCCTTCTCTGTTTCGGTTCAATCTGAATGCTTTCATCAGACTAGAACTCAATTAAAAAGATAGTTTTTCTTGAGATCATATCAAATCATGATATAGCAAAACTATTCACTGCCTGGGATCAAATATACTTACGTTGTTTACCGGCTTTTTCTGCTATGTCCTCGACTTTCAATGTTTGTTTTGAAAATTGACTCAAATTATCACACAAATGGGCGCATGCACCCCCTCAAAATTCCGGTAAAGAGGTGATCTATTCCAATTCAATTCGGTTTACTGTCTCTATGAGATCAATGAACCGCGTCAGTTAATCCGGATAAGTTAACTCTGTTCGAAACCACTCGGTTTTAATCCGATTTAGTTAGCGGCGCGATTTCGAACAAGATTAGCTTAAGTGGGGACAGCTGACCCAAATTCGATCCAAATCGTAAACTACATTTTTATCTAATGACTTTTGAGATCCGATTACCAAGAATACGTGGCTGATAGTATGAACATAATATAGTATACTGTAATATAACAGCTGTTGACTTACAAATCTCCACCCAATCCATTGTAATGACCTTGCGTAGTAAAGTTGACATAACGTGTTCTTGTCTAATTTATTGAGCATACATTTTTGAAATCTTTTCTCCGCTCTATGGTAAAACCAAAAAGTCAAATTTTAATATATCCAAGTACTGTGTCGTACTATAGCTTGTTGTATCAGTACTTGTATAGAGTTTTTGAAAGTTAGTTTATTTTATTGTATGTTATGATAGTGATAAGCGATTATTCAGTACAGCTCTTGAATACTAAGGTGCATATTTTGCGGTTTTCCGGGAACAATCAAACTTACCTATATGCCCTTATAGTTGGTAATCCTACAAACGTTTCAGTGAACTGTGCAAGAACTGGTGATAACGTGATACTATCCATTCTCTTAAGATCCCTGTAAATTAATTAACTGTGCATGGGTAAAACGATTTACTGTTGCATTGTGCGTATCCACTGAACCTACTAAAAAGCAGATAAACGTGATTACTTTATTATATTATAAATCATCACTATGAGAATTAGATGTTCACATGACGTCATAGGTTAAATCTCCCAAATATAACTAAAATCTTGCCATAGACACTCCTTCTCATTCCAATTGTTATCGATGACATGGATTGAAACTTTCTATTCCTATATCATTATGACTCATATTGTATAGTTAACGAATGCATTTAATTTAATTTAGCGAAGAAGGAAAATACCTTGGAAGTCCAACACCATAGTCGATGCTCACAGCTGTCACCAATGCGATGGGTATCATGAGCAGGATAAAATAAGGCGAAATAATTGCATTTACTAATATCACAGTAGCAAGTTGGACAAAAAGAGCCAGCAACCCGTTGAGAGACATCCATATTTTCTAGGGAATAAAGTAAATAAACGCAATTTAAATTCAACAATTTCTGTGCCGTTTTTAAATGTTTTTTTTTTTTTTTTTATCAATCCTATGGCTGTGATCGTATTCATAGATTGTCTCACTGATTACAGTTCGTAGAATATCTATTATTTAAGTACTGACAACAAGAATATTTCTAAAATAGATTGTTAAAATACTGGACGCGTTAAGCTTACCAAATCCACGGCCATTGTGTCATTGGAGACGCGATTAAGGATTCGGCCAACAGGTGTGGTTTCAAAAAACCGTATTGGAGCATGAGTTATCTTATAAAACAATTTACGGTATAGTCGTTTTGCAGCAGATATAGAGAATATAATGTGACATGTATTGACTAAGATCACTGCTATAATAACCAAAGAAGACAATATACCATACCATCGCAGATAAAATGTAGTCATTGTATATCTTTCACCCTATAATAAGTGTAACGAACGTTATTTCCAATGAAATGTATTATGAGATTATCACCAGATATCATATTAGTTTCACACTACTATCTCTTATTACTAAAGGCTAAAGCAGTTGTAATTGGTAGGAACAACAATGTGCTTTATGCAGATAATTCATGCAGATCATGCTATGATATTATAATTCTGAAAAAAATCTAACCGATGCTTCATAATTATGTTAACATTGATTCTTTGTATCTAACATTGATCTAATATAGACAGTAAAAAACTGATAATAACAAAATCACATACCACAGTTGTATTAGCAGATTCCTGTTCAGAGTGTGACCATGTAGATAACCACAAATTACTAGCAACATTAGCAGCAATTTGTAACAGAAATAATATCAAAAGCACACCAACTAGCGGTAACTTTATAGCACGTGCATATGAGAAAATGACGTCCCGGGATATGGTACCTATGTTGCGTTTTTCTTCAGATATCAGAGTAGCTGGACAGATGAATAATTTAACATTCACTCAATTATGTATCATTAATATGCGTTTTCATTTAAGCGGAAAGAACGCATCCATTCGTAATACACACACTAAGTATTCAGAGTCACCACAATTAAAATACAGAAGAATTAGTGAAATTATAGTGACAATTGATTACATTTTGCCTGTTATTGTTTCCTAAATACCACAGGGATACAACGTTTGTCTTCGGGAATTTCTATAAATGATGCTCTGTTCTCGAAGAACGTTTCTTAACAACAACAATTCCAGACTTTTAAACAATATTCAATATAACGACTTACTGCCTTCTTTCTTTGTCAGTTTCTGCAACGATTCTTTGGATACACATTTTTGTGTGGTTTCCAATCCACAGTTATTGTCATTATCACCTTCAGAGTCGGAAATAGTGGATACCATCATTTCCCACTGGCGATATAGCTCCTTATTTGTCTCCCGTATTTCAGCCAAATTGCCTTTGTGTGATATCTTACCATTTTCCATAAATACAATCTACACAAATATATTTTATTCAATGACATGCGTATATTCATTTGTTGCGACAATATAAAATTGTATACCATAAATACCCAACATTTTAACGTTATGCATATATTAAAGTATAGATGATGTTTTGGTACGGCAAGTTCAATCTTGAATATGTCTCAAATATGGTTTTGTTTTGTTTCACGTGTAACATTTACAATATTGTTTATCGTGTATTGTTTATTGTCTGTGATTTTTGATAGCGTGTTTTGTTCTTTTGTACAAATGTGTTAAACAGGGTGACGCACAACAAGGCCCAGTCAAGTATTTAACAATTCTAGGCATCATTACCTCAGATACTTCAGATACATAGCGTTTCAGATCAAATAGAATAAACTCCCGGACCTATTTAAATTTTATTTTTCCTCTCTAATTGAAAAATAGAAACTAAGATGAAGTCCATTTAAAACACAAATGCCCACTTGTAACCTGTATAGTGTTCTTGACATTTTAAAATCGCGTTAAAACTGCAAAAGTTTCGCAGTGTGTCTAAATATAAAGAAGCAAATAAAAACATAGTATAGGACACTGAATGCCAACGAATCTGCATCTATACCTTAATACACATGAAACTCACCATAATATTGTTTATTGTGGCAATAAATGCATTATTCCTTACCTCATCTGCATATTCCAAATGTTGAATTTGATGAGTTACCAAGATGACTGTACGGTCCTCTTTGCGTAGAAAATCAAATATCGCCTTTTCCATCACGTGTTCACCAACGTGTGCGTCGAGTGCCGATAACGGATCGTCCTGGCATAAAGATATAAAAAATGTCAAAATCTTAAGCTTAACTGTTCCCTCAACTATTGGTATTGTTGGTTAAACCTACGCTGTTGACGAGGTGTCCTACTATGCGTTCATAATTTATCCAGTAACATTCCTGTCTCAACACTGATTCAACAATAGACATTCACACATTCACAGAAAACAATGTATGACTAATACGAATATATTCGACATATATAGATTTTTAATTTGCTGATTAAAATATGTAGTATTTTAACCATGGAATTGAGACATGGAATGATGAACATTTAGTCACAGTGAAGAGAGATATAGAACGCCATGACAATATATCAATCATAGCCATTGATGCCTACCAGTAAAACTATATCTGACATACTGTACAGCGCTCTTGCCACACTGATTCGTTGTTTCTGCCCTCCACTCAAGTTTATTCCGTTTTCGCCGATTTCTGTCATGTCCCCTCCAGGCAGATTGTGGAGATCGTCATTTAGTGCGCATGCGCCAACAACAGCATTATACCTGCATTTAAAGTATTAAGCAATTTGTTACTACTCATGTGACATGTCATCTTCGCTTTGCCAGATATGAATGTTAGTTGCAACTGACTTTACTAAATACATCATATGCGGTAATCGTTTCGACAACATACAGTGACGTTATCACAAATATCATACACAATGAAAATCGTGATAATAGTTATTAATATACATCTGTCACCGTAACGCCTTAAGTTACAACGTGCCGTATTTTTGCGGTATTTTACAGGGTATTTTCATCCTACTATATGCGAATTACAAATATGGAATGATTACGCGCGTAAGGGTGCTCTTATAAAAAAAAACATGGCTGCCACGAGGGTTTGACCAGACTCCACACAAAGAAGTTCGCTGATTCTGTTCTAAACGTTTTGTATTTCGGCATTCCCATGATGTATCCTTGGAAGGAAAAGACAGTACGCCGTCGCATTGACTTCCGCTGCGCATCGGTCAATAGTGCCGCTGCACTGTCGTCGTGCATATTTTGGGGTATCCTCGTAATAACCTCATATTTCATGATCTAAATCACAGCAAGTGGATTTTTTCTCCCTCGGTAGTCTAGTTCTGGATCAGCCTTTTTTCCAAACGTGAACTTAATAAATGTTAATTATAGTATTTTCGTGATACTTTTATTTGTTGTCCAATCAGACGTTTTAAGATAATATGATTTATATAAATAAGTTTGTTATTGTTATGTCACATTTCTATCTTGGCCGTTTAGGAAATAAGTACTAGTTACTTTTGTTGAAGATAAATAACAATACATAATAATAGCATCGATGATTTTCTTTTTATCTGACATTGAACACCGATGTCACAGAATATAACGACATTTAAGATTTGTATGGGAAGTGACATAAATAATTGGGTATTTATTATTATTATTATAAATGAATTGTAATGACTGGAAGGAAACACAGTGAATATTCCACTGTTGTTTTTGTTGGCCAATGTTTGAGCATTTTTGTTGTTTTATCACGCCGTAACCTGTTCACGATTTAGTAAAGTACTAACAGCTTAACGTCTATTCAATGCCAGTGTTTGATTAGTCGATAACTAAAACCCAGCAACGTTGTATAAGTGATACTCACCTATTAGAATTGAACCTTTCCCCGAACACAATATTATCTTTTATTGAAGCATTTTGTAACCATGGTTTCTGGGCAGCGTAGGCCATGCGAGAATATTTCCTGTATAAAGACATAATATATCATTCCGTTCGTTCTACTGTTTTTTAAAACAGGTGAAAATTTCGTTTGCTGGTCCAATGCATGTTTTGATACCAAATTCAAACATTGTTTAATTCTCAGAATAGTGGCATTAGTACGCCCTCTATTTCACCTGTTGCCTTTCCCTTGTTTATGTTTGTGTGCATGCATGGACCGACCACCACTCGCGAATGGCTAGCATGAACTATTATTTGTTTTCTCTGTTGAGTGCCATTCAAACGCTTGGTCAAAGGAGAGACTGACGGAATCTTAGTATAGTGATCACTGGCATTTCACGTCTTGATTTATTTCGTGTGTATTTGGTTTGTTCTAATCGTGGTGTTTTTTAGAGAGATTTGTCTAGTTAAAGTTCCACTGCAGTGGGTGTTGTTGTTTTAGAATAGTTTGAGCTGACCAAATGGAATGCGTTTCTTTCATGCAGTTTAATAAGGGCGTAGTCGCTAACTTTGTTTGTCGTTCATGGGAACCCATTAGTAGTATAAGATCTATACTATTTGATATGTGTTTTGTGAGTGGGTCTGTATCAATCAATTAATTTGTGGTGTAATTTCATACAATTTATAATAAATTAATATTTGATCTTGTTTTATTTTTTATATGCCTCAATTGAGGATTGTTTCTTTGTAAAAAACATATTGTATACAAATTACTAGTATTGTAATCACTTTGTTTTTCCACGTGACACATAATCATATGTGTCACGTACACGCAATCAATTTAGTTACAAATCATGTGACCAAAATATAGGCTAGTATTTATAAATAACTTGTAAGTGAACACTGCCACCCACTGCCACACACTGGGTGGAAATGCAAGACTATTGACAATCTCAAGCTCTTACCGACGCGCTATCATTTCTATCTGTCGTCCATGTAAATTGTGAAAATATCAGTGTGCACAATATGTAATCGAACATGTTTAGTATAAATTGTACTCACGCTGATAAGACAGTTCCAGAAATTGTATACATTTCCCCGAGTAATGCTGAAATAATAGATGATTTCCCAGAACCAATTGACCCAATTATCATCGTGAGTGTACCTACAACATAAATGTACAGAATATTTCACAGACCACACACGCACCCACGCACGGACATTGGATAAATGTAAGTAAAACGTAGATAAATCCATTCGGCACAAGTTTCAGATAAGTAAATGAAACTCACCAACAGGAAAAGCGAGATAGGATTAGATATTCGTGAAACAGTTTGAGTTACCCAGCTGATAAGTCATTCTCAAAATGAATGTTAAGTCTAGTTCAATATATGTGCATTTAACTACTCCTCATTGATCCTTGTTTAATATTTTGTGTGTGAAAGCTGGTCTAGTACAGTTATAGAGTAAATCATAACACGCCAATTTCTCAATGATTGCATTGTCTTCACAATTTTAACACACATTATACGTTATGCATACATAACATATTATTTTGACAAAACTCACCTGTACGAAATTTAATATTAATATTAACTAAATCTGCAGCCTGATTATTCTCCCAGGAAAAGAACCCATTTTTGATCTACAGGTGCAATAATAGTATACTTAGTGATAAATGTTTTGTTACTTTACATAGAAACTCTCCAATTGTTTAAGTTCGATTTTGTTCCGAATATCAAAACAACGGCTTTTGTTTAACATAATTGAACGTGGCATATATAATGATTGTTTTTTCATATTTAAACACTATATGTGAGGTAATCTTAAACAAAGATAGATGCGATATTGTGTTATTTGCATCGAACCAGAATGATAATACGCTCACAAATAAATACTCCACAACAGTTTTTGAAATGTTTATTTTCACCTAACTACTACTAAATGTTGGCATCGCTGGTACTACCTATTTTATTTCCTTACTGCAAATTGAATGAATCCAGAAACTTTACTTGGTTTACATTGAGTATGAGCCTCATAATTTTGTTTTTAAATTTGAAAAACTCGTAAATGTTGAATGGCCAACAACAGACTATTCTGAAATATTAAAATCTATCTATTAGAATATATTAACAGTAATTCACTATATGACCACCATACAAGAAGAGGTATGAGGAAATATACTGGCCGAATATACAGAATATACAAACAAACAAGATATACTAAGCAATCACGTTGGGATATTCAAAATCATAATTTGTTGTCAATGCAAACATTTTAATTCTGGGTATACACATATTTATTTGCTATTAGGGTTTTGATTTTACTTCGCTGGTCGAACTCACTTCAAGTGAAATGTGATCTTGTACGAGATGACCCAAAACATAACTGTCAATTGACTGCATAGCTGAGACATCAGTGGTGTATAACGATGTACTATTGGTACGTTTACCATCATTCATCTGAAACAAAAATATGCATTAAAACGTATTTGAAGAAACTAAACACAAACTCAATAACTTTTCACATTCCAAATGCAAATGCTGTGTATACTGTATCAACAATGTGGCGTTAATATGTACGAAGCTGTGAACAGTGCTATATACATTAGGCTACTTCGTCTATTCCATTCAGCATAAATATATCTAATAGAGAGTTTTAAGCCTCACCTCAAACTTTTCATTCACAAAGCCATCTTCACTATTGCATACCATTGGATGTTGGTTAAATTCTTTCAAAGATAAGAAATGCTCAATTCTTGTTGTACTGGACAATGCTTCCACAAGGTATTTAGCCAAAGTAGGCAGCGTAAGAAGTGGCTGATAAAGCAGAGTTGTTAAGGCAAGTGTTGAGAATACTGTATCTGGTGTTAAAGGTGCATCGTTGAGCAGCGAATACACTACAAATATCTACGAAAAGAATAGACATTTCATTAAAAACGTTTATGCATTATGTCAAAATAATAATTAAAATTTTCAGGTATACGCCATTGTGTTAGTAAAAACAATGGCCACACGATAAACTGATTTTCAATTTTACGAGCATCTACTCTCTTGATACGAATTAATTAATGAATAACAAAACACAATGCTTACAGTAAAGGTAAGAACGACTGGTATACATTGTGACAAGATAGCTAGATGCAAATAAAAGTTATATAAGTAATTGGTCAAAATTAAAACACATACTACAAAAATAAACTAAGATAAAGTCAATTATACAATTGAAGGCCATTGCAAAGATTCATGGATTAATTATGGAAGACCAGTGTAGTTATTCACAATTCAGGTTGATACCTGTCTGTTTGAGTGTATAAATAAAAACACATATCAAATGTAGTTTATGTTCCATTGTTGTTACATAATTGTGATTAACAATGATTAAGTTTATCCACAAGGGACTTTTTTACTTTTCTGCCTTCAAATCTAACGAAGTTTTTTTAGTCTGAATTTCTCGAAGGTTTACGAACTTTTATATTTATTTACAAAATACCTACTTGAGTATAGAAATAACAATCCCACTTTAAGCTTATGCTTCATTTCTTTATTCCTTTCATTTTTAATACCGGTAGCAAATAATTGCTCCCATCCATTGAGTTTCAATAACTTAATTCCTTGTAACCATTCATTATTTTTCTTCAAACGACGGTCAGAATGAAGCTAGCAACAACAAAAAAATATTTAATAGATTTTTTAAAAACATTTCTTGTAATGAACCATTATTTGTTTTGCCTATTATTACTGGATTGCATGTAATTCGATGTGGGCATGTCACTACAACTCTGATTGGTTGGTCACTGTTTGGGCTCTATCGCACAATAGTTTCACGTTGAATGTTCATAATCTTAGTGTATCACGAATATATGCACATTGGTTACAAGGTCTGATCATCAATCACAACGACATTTAGTATTATTATAACATGATATCGTATTTTATTATTATTACGTATAAGGTTACTACCAGACTCATCAGTTGCGATTTTCTCTGCATTTCACCGAGACGGAACAAGACAGGCAATGTTAGGAGAACCACACACACACCAATGAGACCAGCCATTCCCACTTTCCAGAAGAGCAGAATACATACGAAGATTACCTGTTTGCGAAACAATTATCATTAGTATAGATATAATTTAATGATGGTGAGGTAAAAATTATTAGTTTATGCTCATGCAATAGTATCAATAATATTGATAATCAATATAATGAACATGTTAGCTAAACTGGGAGCTTTGAGGCGGAGGCGAAATTATGACTTATACGCAGAAATAATGCTCGGGAGTGTAGATATACTAGTCGGGACACACCATTTTCACATTAAATCACGTACCTAACAAATTATATATCTGTTCAGTAAAAAACTGTTCCGCTACTCACCTTGACAGGGTTAAATATCATAAGAGTAACATACAAAAAGAACCATTGGATTGCAATACCATCAACCGACATGTGATTAATAGTTTGTCCAAGAGATGAGTCTTCAGTGGCCATCGACGGTAACCGTAATGCCTTGTTATATACTCGCACCTGTGTATGGTTACAAGCAAATTATTGATCACTGAAAGTGACAAGCTGGATTGTCTGTAGTAAAATGACAAATGTTGATTTGTATTCTAATTAGTCAACAGGCATGTGACATATTGTATGTTTAGTCATATAATGTTTCCAGTCACCCAGAGTGATGCGAGTATTTGTATCCACAACACAACACAACACAACGGCCTAAAGCGACTGTATGACTACATTGGGTGAATGATTTAACCACATTTACGCACAGAAAGGTATACACAGTTAAATGATATATTGACTTGCCTGGAGTGCATTTCGTATGCATACTCCCACATCAGCAGATATACTATATAAAGCCGTTGCCGCAGTCGCTTTTAGAATAGTACTTAAGCAGATTATCAAGAGAAGGACGAATCCGTTATTACAAAATTCATCAACTGTAACATATGGGCTTTTCTAAAGAAGATACAAAACATGGACAAATTCAGTTTCCGTTGGTACGACTTTATGAATAAACAATAAATTATATTCAATTTATCTCCAATCAAACGAGGTTAATACAAAAATGTGATATAGTAGAAATAAAAGTTGTTTCGTGTGTTAGTAAACGATAGGCTCTGTTTTTGAACAAAGTCGTGTAAATCAATCAATCAATATCAATATTAATCAATCGTCCAAGATTATCTTCTTCAGGTACTCACATAATATTTTATTGTTTTATAATAGTGCTGTGTTGTAAAGTTGACAATTCCAGCAATGCATAGTGCGGGAACGAAGCTAAGTACTGCACTGGCAAGTCGAATAGTTGTTGCTGCAATAAGCTGCCAATGGTATGCACGCCAATATACTCGCCACAAAGAAGGGGTATTTCTATTATGGGCACTTCGTTCCTAATTATACGTAATAGTATGTAATATATTAATCTATTATATATATTGCGCCAAGAGATTTAACTCACAATAAAATTTATGTATGTCACCATACTCGTCAATGTGAAAGAGTTTGTATACACAATGCCTCATGTCGCAATTAATGTCGTTGACATTACATACAACATACTGCAATGAGCCGAATCCTGGTTGTGTTTTACGGTTTGTATATAACGCATGATTTACCTGTTCATATTTGTACGCGGTGTCAAATGTTTTTACTATGTGTTTACTTTCGAACCTCTCTGGCAAACAACCCAAGTCCGATAGATCAAGTGTTCTTTTGTGAGACAGCAACACTAACCAATTTACCCACCAGTTAATTATGCAGGATATAATGTTTGTATAGGACGTCGTATAGTACAGATTCGTCTTTAAAAAATCTGGTGGAATTGCTTGTTCTTGATAGTCGCTGAAAATCTGTACAACAAAAGCAATGATATATATATGAAGTGCTACAGTCGTCGCACGGCCTCAAAATTTATGTAAATAAATAATGTATTTACATGCGTTGTATATGTGAGACCCATAACGAGCACAACATGGCTGCAAGCAATGGGTGCCTTACGACTTGACTATCACAACATAAAAGGTGGGGGCATCCATTATATTTATATTATATGTACTTTTTGAAGTAATGAAAGCTAAGTGCATCTGAACTAAAACACCCTTTCAGGCCCCGTTTACATTATATTTGATTATTAGCCCTTTTAAGGTAATTTATTTACATTTCACCAAACTGCAACGAGAACGTGAATATATATAATATATTAGCTCAGCCTTCGATACGACAATTTTTAAAGAATCATTAATATGTTACTACAATTTTATCACAGGGGCATAAGATACTGTTTTCCAAGTTAAGTTTTATTTCAAAACTGGGGCTCTAAATTAGTATTCAAAAATTAGTTTCACCCGTACTTTTGTGAAAATGAATTAGTGTCTATTTTAAGCATTTTAAGACATTATTGACAGCACCCAATTTACATCGCTGTTGTTCGTGGTCTTACTTGCTTTAACACAATAATATTTATCATAATATATTTGTTTATAAAAACAACATCAACAAAAATTAATACAATTGACAATTGTTAGGTTTACACGGCGCATTTTATCTGGGCAAGAAACTCTCACCAATTAACATGAAATTATCTGTGACCCATTCGATCCAGCTCGTTCTTTACAGGGGGTCTCGTTTAGTCGGTCGGCCCATGCCAAGGCTTCTATAGGAGTTCAACTGGAAGGTTTTCATTATACATTATGCATACCACAAAAATATATCATCGATGTAAATATTTGATTTAACAAATCAGCAATAAGAATTATATTTGTCATTTCGAAAACACACATATGAAGGGAAATCCACCAAGATTCATGCCGATGATGATGATGACCAATATAAAAGCAATAAACAGTGTTGTATTGTGTAATAACACATCTATATACTGGCCTATTAAATCCAGACAACATAATACTTGTGTTCTTCCTTTGTATATGTGGTTAAACGCGCCAAATCAATTACGTTGAAAGGCATTTAGAAATTTAAGAAGTGGCAGATATATAAATATGTAGGGTCTTCTAGTAAAAAAACAATTTGTTAGAAGCAACACATCCACCTCGAGTATAAGGCCGCCACGTTGAATGAATATGGTAATCCGCCAAAATCCATGCATCAATAACTAGTAATAGCTAAAAAAAAACGCTTCTAGAATAGGGTTGTTATAACTGGCCTTACACATTCTAATAATGTTGATACACTACGACCAGTATATGGTATTCAAATTGAAAAAAAATACCTTGCATCGAATAGTATTTATTTCTGAGGCCAGACAAATTGCATACAATAGGGCCGTGATGAAACCGACATCCAGTCGTACAATAGTAACATCAGCACCAATATAATGTGTCAATCTGAGCATTTCCATAACTTGACCAATGATAGCCATGATCCAGTACAATAACAGCAACCACACAAGGTGAGGTCGATTCCAGTATTCCATGTGGTGGTAATACACCATGCTGATCAATACACTGATTAACGTCATTATTTGTGGTACGTACACAAGTGGTTTAGTGCTTCCATATCTTGAAATATCCGTGAGAAATCCTTCAGCCAGTCCAAACATTGATACCATCAGAAGTAATAGAAAGATGGTCCACTTAAATGTGTGTATAGGATAACGAAGCATAGTCCTGTAGTTATAATAACGTATATGTGTACAACATCGCATAATAAATAGATTCAGGGAAGCCACAACCGAGAAGGAAGCATGAATCAGTATTTGAAGATGATGAACTTCTTTCATTCCGTCAATATCCGCAGTCGTATTCATGCTGGTTGCTCCTTTGAATATGAGATTAAACAGTTTACTATTATTAAATGCCATTTCAAAAAACCACCACAAGTGTGTAAACGTGGTTACAACACAGGTGAATACATTCATGCATTGTGGACAATATACTATATAGAACATCACATAAACAAATTCACTGAGCAAAGCAAATGAATAACAATTCAATGCAAACATAACCTACTCCATACAATATGTGCAATAATTGAAACTTGCTTAAGTGGTATGATAACAATTACTAAAAATCCACATCCATGACAGGAATTATGAAGATAATAGTGGATAGCGACAAACTGTACGCAACAGGTGTCTTTAAAAACTCTATACCGAATGACTGCATTTTTGGCAGTAATTACGGGTGAAATCCAACACGCTAACAGTTAGTTCACAAACAACAAATATGTTTCATAAACAATATGTGAGACATT